GTTCAGCAGCTGTGCCCCTCGCTCCCATGCTCAATAGCTGCTGGGGCCCCTTTCCTCCAAGAACATGTCCAGTCCCTCCTTGAATCTGGCTAAACTCTCAGCTTCCACCCTGTCTGGTGGCCACAAGTCCTATGCTTTAATGATGCAAAGGGTGAAAAAGAACTTCCTTGTGTTTGTTTTCACCTTGCTACCCACTCTTTTCATGTTGTGAACCCTTGTTCTTGTATGGTGAGAGAAAGTAAATGATAAATCCCTACTGATTTGCTCTTCACTATTTAGTATTTTGTAAATGCTCATCGCATTCCCCCTCAAGTATCTCTTTTCTAACCTGAACAGGCCTGGCTTCTTTAGTCTCTCCTCATCTGGAAGCCCCTCCATATCTCCAGTCATCTTTGTTGCCCTGGTCTGGACCTTCTCTAGTCCTTCTATCTCCTTTTTGAGGGCTGGGGACCAGAACTGGGCACAATGCTCAACGTGTGGATGCACCGTGGATTTATTACGTGTTATCATTCTGGTTTGTTCACAATTCTCTTAATCATTGTTAACTTTTTTTTTGCCTTCTTGGTGGCTGCTGAGCCCTGAGCTGATGTTTTTAGTGAACTGTCTGCACTGACTCCCAGATCTCTTTCCTGTGTGGTAACCATGAATGTAGAGCCCATCAGAGTGTAGGTAGAGTTTGGGGGTTTTTTGCCCATGTGCATCAGTTGACCCTTATCTACACTAAATTTCATCTGCCATTTAGTTGCCCATTTGCTCAATCATGCCCGATCCTTTGGTAGTTCCTCACCATCCACCTTGGTCTTTACCACTTTTAATAATTTTGTCATTTGCAAATTTGGCTTCCTCACTACTCATCCCCTTTTCCAGATCATTTATAAATATGTTAAACAGCCCTAGACCCAACACACATCCCAGCAGGACCCCACTGTTTACCTCTCCATCCTGAAAATTGACCATTTATCCTCACTCTTTGCTTTCTGACTTGTGGACAATTTTTAATCCATGAGTGCACATTCCCTGTGATCCTGTGACTTCCTAAATTAGTCTCTGATGGAGGACCTTGTCAAAGGCTTTTTTGGAAGTCCAGATGTGCTATGTCAGCTGGATCACCCTGATCCACCTGCTTATTAACACACTCAGAGAACTCTCATAGGTTGGTGGGGCACAGTTTCCCATTGACAAAGTCATGTTGATTCCTCCCCAGAAAGTCATGTTCATCCACGTGCTGAAATAGTCTTTTTTTTTTTTTCAGTCTTGTTTCTACCAGTTCTCCAGGAATAGAAGTTAAGACTCACCACTCTGTAGTTCCCTGCATCTCCTCTAGAGCCATTTTTAAATATGGGAGTCACATTGGCAGTCCTCTAGTACGAAAGCTGTTTTTAGTGGTAGTTTTTGTCCTACAGTTAAGTGGTCAGCAATTTCCCATCTGAGCTCATTCAGGACCTTAGGGTGAATGCCATCAGGTCCTGGTGATTTGCTACTGTTTAGTTAATCAGTTTTCTCTACAGCCTCATCTACTGAAACCACCCTTTGGGTCAGCTCCACTGGATTGTCCTTAGGGAGGAGTGGATCTGGTGACAGAATTTCCCTAACATCTTCCATTGTGAAGACAGATGCAAAGAATGCATTTAGTTTCTCAGTGATGGTCCTGTCAATCTTTAACATGCTTTGTATACACCCTGATCATCCAAAGGCCCATCTGAGCTCCTGGCAGGTCTTCAGCTTATAATGTAATTAAAGGAATTTTTAGTATCTTTTGTGTCTCTGGCAAGTCTGTCCTCAAATTCCCTCTTAGCTTGTCTTATTTCACTTTTACCTTTGCTTTGCTAGCATTTGTGCTCTTTTTTTAATTTTCTTCGTTAGGATTTGGCTTTCACTTTTAAAAAGAAGCCTTTTTTTCTTTTTTGCTTATTGCCTCTGCAATTCTGCCATGAAACCATGCTGGTCTGCTTTCCAGTTTTTTATTTTTGGTATGCATTTGCTCTGTGCCTCCTGCAATTCTCTCACTTCTTTAGGGGCCCCTTTTAACTTCCATCTAACTAGCTTCCTCATTTTGGTGTAGTTTCCCATTTTAAAGTTAAAGGCTACAGTGGTAGATTTTTCTTGTCTCCCCTCCTACATGGGTGTCAAATCAAGTTGCATTGTGGTCACTGTTGCCCAGTGGTTTAGTAACACAAACCCTTTGCACTAAAGGTGTTCCTCTGGTAGGCTCCAGGACTAGCTGCTCCAGGAATCTCTCTTATAATATCCAGAAATTTGGTCTCTACATCCTGACCTGATGTCAGATTGGCCCAGTCTATTTGTGGGATACTTGAAGTCCCTCATTATTACTGTGTTTTCTGCTGTGGCAGTCTCTCTCAACCCCCTTAACATTTCTAGCTCACTGCTGCTACCCTGGTCCGGGGGTCGATGGTATATTGAAGGAGCTAGGCTTATTTAGTTTAGCGGAAAGAAGACTGAGGGGGTGGGGTGCAGATTTAATAGCAGCCTTCAACAACCTGAAAGGAGCTGGACTGTTTCCACTGGTGGCAGATGACCAAACAAGGAGCAATGGGCTCAAGTTGCAGCAAGGGAAGTTTAGGTTGGATATTAGGAAAAACTTCCTCATTAGGAGGATGGTGAAGCACTAGAAGACATTACCAATAGAGGCTGTGGAATCTCCATCCTTGGAGGTTTTTAAGACCCAGCTAGACAAAGCCTTGGCTAGGATGATCTAGCTGGGGCTGGTCCTGCTTTGAGCAGGGATTGGACTAGATGTCACCTCCAGAGGTCCCTTTCAGCCCTCATTTTCTATGATTCTATAGACATATTTTTTCTGTTATAACCTGGGATTTCTATGCACAAGGATTCTATTGCACCTGTCTTAAGAGTTGAAAAATCTGACCTATTTGATTTGATGCAGTCTGATGTAGAGTGCCAGTTCCCCACCAGTGCAACCTGCTCTATCATTCCTGGATAATTTGTGTCCTGGTATTACAACATCCCATTAATTTTCGTCATTCCACCATGTTTTAGAGAGACTTATTATGTCAAGAGCCTTATTTATAGCTAAGCATTCAAGGTCCCCCGCCTTTGATCTTAAACTTCTGGCATTAATATAAAAGCAGGTGTACTTCTTATTGTTGCCTGGTTCATTAGTTCCATGTGACCTTTTACTCATTAAAGGTATTTGCTTGCACTTATCTTCACCCTGTTTCTTATCCTCATTTTTTGTATAGCTTTATCCCATAGGTTGTGCCGATCCGAGCTGTGCCATTCCACGCATGTTGGCTTTTTCCCTCCCTCTGTTTTTAGTTTAAAAGCTGCTCTGCCACTTTTTTAATGTTATGTGTCAGCCTTCTGGTACCATTTTGACTCGAGTGGAGACTGTCCCTTCTATGTGGGCTCCCCCAGTTCCTAATAAACCTAAACCCTTCCTCCTTACACCAGCATTTCAGCCATGTGTGGAGACTGGCTCTGCCTGTCTACCTGACCCTGTGCGTGGCATGGAAAGCATTTCTGATAAAGTTGCCATAGAAGTCCTGGACTTCAACCTTTTACCTAGCATCCTAAATTTAGCTTTGAGGACCTCCCTGCTACTCTTACCCACATCACATGACCACCAGCTCCTCCCAGCAGTCTTGTGAGGTCTGCTGCCTTTGTACCCAGCAGTCAAGTCGCCCTGTTGTCTGCTCAGTCATCACAAACCCAGCTATCTATGTGCCTAATAATCAAATCTCCTACTACCACCACCTGTCTGCTTCTCTTCTGTGGGGTTCCCACCCTTGGAGGAGTGTGCTCAGTGCAGGAAGGTGCTGTAACATTAGCTGGAAGGTGGGTCTCATCTAAAGGATAGTTTTGCTTGTTCCCAGCTTGATGTCCTTCATCCCTGAGGCTCTCATTCTTCTCAGCAGCACAGGAGATGCTACAGTGGAGGTGGAACTGCTCTACAAAGTCCCTGAAAGTCTCATCTATGAATCTCTCCGTCTTCCATAGCTGCTTTTGTTCTGCCACCCTAACCCTGAGAGAACGTACTTGCTTTCTGTGAGTCAGGAGTTCCTTGCATTGGGTGCAAAGTGTGTGTGCGCATTGTAGCCAAAGAAACAAGGGAAAGCTCAGAGTTGGCATCATCCCTGGGGCCTTGGATGGCTGGCGTGGGCCTCCTAGATGCATCTTTTGTGTGTGGAGGGGCCTTGCCCTTCTCCAGTCCTTGATTTCAGGCTCCTTCCCATTGGCTTCACCAGTGCTGGGGTAGGAAGTAGCAGGGAGATGTTTCCAGGCACATGACAGGGCTGAGGGAGGCGTTTCACTCTGCTCAGGCTGTGCCTTCACCAGCCATCCTGTGACTGTGATATGGGGGCCTCGGCTGAGCCAGGAGCCCTCTTGGAGCTGTTTTTAATGGCTTGCATTTCCGTAAGTCCACAGAGAAATTAGCAGAAGCTTTTATTTTCTAGGGAATGCAGCAGTCCCTTTGAGAATGAAGAAGAGGGGCTTGTTTCTGTAGAAGAAACCTCCTGATGGGCGTTCAGTTTTGGCTACAGGATGGGCTGAAAGTGGTGTGAAATATACAGTTGAGTGCATGCATGTATGTGCATGTGTGTCTGTCTGTCGGTTTTGCACATTATTGAAGCTTTCTCTTCAACGTGTATCTTCTCTTTGAAAAGAATGCAGATTTTAGCTGCCAGGACCTAGAGTAGAAGCTTAAGAGAAGGAGCCAAAGCACTTTGACTTACTCACTGGATTTGTTGGATATGGAAAAGATGGCAGATGAATTGAAGACAGAGACTGAAAACCTCAATCCAGAACAGAGCATGTCTTCCACAGGACTGGAAGATGACCTTGGCAAACTCTTGGGTCAGGAGACACTTCTCCCAAAGTTGGGCAGTATTGATCTGGAAAGAGAACTAGATGCCAAAAGTGAGCTGGTAAGACTCAGATGTGAATTTTCTAGCTCTGGGACAAACCGGGCTGTCCAGCAATAAATCCCTTTTGATTTTTAAAAGGGAAGCTTCATGAAACGTGGGGGAAGGGGAAGACGTTTCAAGTCAAATGCGTGATTGTCTTTTATGTTTGATTTTGCTTTTCATTTGCTGGGTGGCCAGCTTCATTTAAGGGTTGCTCTTTGAAGTGACGAGGCTGTTTTCAAACCATGCCACTTCACAGCTTTCTCACCAAGTTGTGGTAAATACCATTCCTTGCTCTTGCGTTAGTTCTGTGGTGCTAACTGGCTCTGATTCATAATACTGCTTTAAAGGACTGGTACCTCGGAGCCCTTTCCAGGGAGCAGCCTCAATGCACTAGCAAACAGGGTGTGAAGCAGGAACTTCATTAGTCATGTTGCTGAGCAGGTTACCAAGGGCACTCCACTGTGAAACTTCCTTATTTCAGCCTCCAAAAGGAACTTGATTTGGGGACTGGAGGCACATCTGCTCAGCTGTTCTTGGTCAGAGGCCTGCCCATGCCCCTTTCTGCCTGTAGATGGTCTTGTAGCATGGGCCCTCTAGACAGCAGCAGGGGCAGCTCCTTCATCTCTCCCCTACCACTTTTTAGAACAAAACCTGTCCCACTCTACACAAATCTGCTAAGACTTGACTGCTTTGTGCTGTCAGGAGCTTGCTGTAAAATCGGCGCCTTCCTAACAGATTTTGAACTCTGTGTGAGTTCAGAATCTGCTCTGGTGGCATCTTTCACAGAAATCTGCATCTCTTGGAAAGACAGCTGGCGTTTAGTGTGGTTTGTTAACTACACTTTCCCTGCAGGGCCAAATTCTGCCCTTGGCTATACCTGCGACATCCTGCTGCTGTTCATAGCTGCTTTGCACAGAGGTAGCTAAAAGCAGCATTTGGCCCATAGGGTCTATTACTGAAAGGGCTATGCAAACAGAGGAGAACCCAGCCTGCCTCCCCAAGACATCAGTGTGTCTGTTCTTTCTAGTACTAGCTAATAGAAAACAGTGTTTCGTATGGCCTCACCGAGAAGCAACCAGTGAGGTTCCTAGCGTCTCTTCAATGAAGAGATACAACCCTACTCATTGAAAGCCTGCGCTGGGAGTTTAAATTCCTGAGGACTAGTGACTTTCAGATTGAAAATGGAAACATTTTGAGAGAGATGGCACAATTGCCATGGGTTTTCAGTGGCAGAGTTGAGCCAACAAACAAGTCCAGCTTGGGCCAGAAGCACTCGTTTCAACTCAGAGTTTTACTTCAGAGTCTTGCAGTTTTGTCAGCTTGGCACCTCGCATTGCTGTTTCTTCAGTTTCTTGTAGTTCGGGAAGTCTTGGAGAACTGGGATGTGCTGGGATCCAATGGGTGAGTGCAGAAGGTAGTAAACATGATGTCAGGGGTCAAGGTTCTATTCCTGGCTGTGCTGTTCACTGGTTTAGTGACTTTGCAAGTCTCTCCATTTCTTTCTGCCTCAGTTTTCTCATCTGTAAAGAGGGGGGAGAAGTATGGATGACACTGCTTGTCAAATGTGAAGTATTCTGGCTGTTTAGCATAGCTAACTTTAACAGCAGTGCTTCTCCTTTAACTTTTTTAAATGCATCTTTAAGAGCTTACAAATTGGAAGAATAGTTGAGTGCCAAAGCTGCTGCTTGGATTGGATCACCAAAACATTAGGAGAAACTTGAGCACCGGGGTAAGAACTGGCTAACTGAAGGTTGTTGAATTCGGTAAGCAGACAAAACTAAACGTGTGAGATAAATGGGCCAACTTCAAGTAAAATTTGTCTTAAAACCTATTACATCCACTGCCGCTCCCAGGAGTACTTATTTACTTAAAAGATTATGAAGAGAGAAGAGTCTCACTTCAGTCTATTTTGTCTATTTGTTAAGTTTTATGGGGGCTCAGCTTCATTGTTCCCTGCCCCCCCCAAACTGACAAGCAACATGATAGCTGAAAGGCTTATCACAAAATCACTAAAGAGGGTTGATAAATGCCTAGATTACAAATAAAAATCAGCACCTTTTATACAGTATGGCCTGTATCTGCATCTGTTGCTTAGGTCTGATGATGGGGCAGCTGTGTTCATGGCATACTGCCATTTTTCTGTAGAAACTTTTCAGAGTAGACCTGCACACTAACCATAGTGATTAGCAGCCTGCCAGCTATAGCAAAGTCTTATTTGGGTAGCAATGGTCTGAAATGGAAGCATCTTAAATTTTCTTCTTCTGCCTAAAGTTTTTGGTTTGTTTTTTTTAATTCTACAACACTAAAGGTCTGCTTTTATTTTTAATATTTAAGGGAGATAAAATGCACCAATTGTACAGTTTTGGATCAGTCCAGTGTGACAATGACTTGCCAGACTGTGTTTTTAATTTTAATTGCATTAGCAGCATGAGACCTGTTCATCTTCCTGTTCTTGGTTTTGCATAGGCAATAATACCATCTGAATCACTATATCTAGCAGGGCATCAGAACAACCGTCATCATTTTTGCGACATTGAAACCACTAACTTTTTGCTTTCAGCCTGACACTTGTTAGGGAGCATAACTTGAAAGAAAGCACTTGAAAGAAGAGAAATCTCCTGTGCATCTTGGATGGAGAGTGGGGTATAACTGAAACTTTTATACAGAGGATTGTGAAAATCTATTTGAGATTAAAAACCTGAACAGTCTCCTCCTTCTCTTCTTTGTTTAGATTGATGATAAAGAGTTCAATATTCCTCAGGTGGATACCCCACCGACGCTGGAAAGCATATTGAATGAGGTGGGTAGGTATTTAAGAGTAAAGAAAGCCCCTGAGTCACGCACAGTAGTGTTTCGGAGCATGTGACTATTATACAGTTGTGCATTGTAAATTAACATTCATGCAGAAAACATGGGATGTTCCTGTTTCAGTATTTAAAGAGGCATGTGGCAAAATGTATGCAGACCATATAGTAATTATACTGCTAAACAGCCTGATATTTAAATTGTGCTTCCCAGTAGTGTTGTATTTTATTTGTATGATTTGTGTTTTTATCACTTGTTATTTTTAGAAGACCTCAAAAATAAGTTCATCATTAGGTCTGCAGATATACACATAGCCATAGAACATTAAGTAGGGAGGTGGATGTTGCAGATGAGTTAATACAGTCAGTGACAATACTGAATCACTTGGCGTGCATGGGGGCTACTCTGACATTTCAGGTGGAGGGGAGCTCGAAAGTGCACTCAAAATGTTCACAGCCTCAGCTGTTCACAGCCACATCTGCTCGCTCTTCTGACAAAATAAGTTACCGTATTTACTGCATTAAGTTCACTGGAGCCAAAACTTTTCTGCCAGGGGAAATAGGATTCCACTCCAGCACATGCACCATTCTCAGCATTACTGATGAGCTCTGTCACTGTTTTATGCTCGCTTCCAGGTTGCTGATTAAAACTACAGAAGCATCAGGCCTAGGACAGGTCGTCTTTGTCATCTGCTTCCTAAACTCTGTCAGTTTGCTAGTCCTAATCCCATTTAATGTGGGCTTTATTGACAGGGTTCACCGAAGCAAGCAACAGAGAAGGGCAACAAGGATGATGAGTGATATGAAGGGGCTTCCATTTGAGGAGAGACTAAAGAGGCCTGGCCTCTTCAGTTTAGAAGAGAGATACTTGCAGGGGGAACATACAAAATACTAAATGGTGTAGAGAGTCAATAGGGATTTATTATTTACTGTCTCTTGCCATACAAGAATGAGGGGTTACAACATGAAATTAGTAGGCGGTAAGTTTAAAACAAACACAAGGAAGTTTTGGGTTTTTTTATACGGGATGTCATTAAAAGCATTGGACTCATTGCCACCAGATGCGGTGGAAGCTTACAGTGTAGCCAGATTCAGAAAGGGATTGGACACATTCTCGGAGGAAGCGTCCCCAGTAGCCATCAAGCCTGAGAGTTACTGATACAGCCTCTGAATCAGAACTTCCTACATGTTATATGCTGCAGGCTGCAAGTGGGAGAGGAACAGTGGGAAAAGCCCTGGTCAGACCTGGTTCACTCTCCCTTTCAACATCCACTCTGCTGCTGTGTGATGCAGGAGGGTGGGCAAAATGGACCTATGATCTGACCCAGTAAAAGGCAATTCTTATGTTTTTATGCTGACTGGTTCACCAGAATACCTTGCTAGACCAAGTCACGTGCCTGGTAGTCTGAGAGATGGGTTTGATCTGTCACATTTAGCAAACTTGTGCTGTTTTAAATTGTTTTTCAGACTGATGATGAAGAAGAGACTTTTGTGCTGGAGGATCCCTCACTTTTGAACATTGATAATATCGACACACACTCTTACGACACGTCTTCAGTGGCGAGCTCTGACAGTGGAGACCGGGCACACATGAAAAGGTAGCTGTTCCTGTCAGCAAGACTTCCCTTTCCTTCCTTTGAGATTTAAGAGAGTGTGTGTCCTGATGGTGGGCAGCAGAGACACATTTTTTTGCAGCCCCCCATACTGCTGCATTTTCCAGCTGTGCACTCAAGCCTGCTCTGCCTTGTCGGCATTCGGATTTGATCCAATGGGGACAAGTGGATGGTGACAGAATTGCAGATTAGAAGTGTTTGAAGCACCTGCTGATCCAGTGGGCTGCAACGGCTTGGAAGTACAGCCCAGAGTCTGTGTGAAAAGCTTCCTATGTAGCTCCCTGGTCCTGGAACTGTTTTTGCGCTCAGATTTTCAGTATATGTTGCACGGCAATAATAGGGAAAGTTTATTGGAATTGGGCTTGTGTTGGTGGACAGGGAAGGAGCCTGACTGGAAATAATGCTTCTTTCTTACCTGGCTGGTGTGAATCTCACTTTGAGAAAGAGAGTAGTCTGATCTATCAGGGTCCCACACAAAAGCAAACCCTACAGCCAGTGCTAGAGAGGGATGCTGCAGAGGATACAGATAAAATAGGATTTGCTGGAATGAAACTGTTCCTGGTGGATCCAGCAGAAAAAAAAAAAGTCTTCGGTTTGTTTGAGGGGTCAGTGGACATTGCTCTGGGCTGTGAAAACCTTTGCAAAACTATGCACCAGAATTTAGACTGTCATGATTTATTTTAAAAAAGGTCTTTACAACCTGCCAAATGTGTTTCTCCAAGCAGCCTGCCACAGTATTTTTGAAATAATGTAAATGGCTTCTGCTCTTCTTAACGATGGCTTAGAGGGTAATGCTGTTACTTATTTCCCCACTGTCTGTTTTTCTAGAATTGCCCCACAATTTTAGCACATCTAGTCCTGCAATTCCAGTCCATTCTCACATGCTGTAAGTTCCACCTGCCTTTGACAACTTTCTCAATGTGCCGGTGTTGGGTAGCGTATCAAACATTTTCAACTTGGGGAAGCATAGAAGGATCTGAATCCAGAGCCCCGTAATACAAGGCAGTGTTCCAATTAGCTTTCATGATTAAAAACATAAGCATAAAATTTCATTAAAAAAAATAGAAGGGTGTCATTGAATTGAATTCACATAAAGCTGTCGTGGTTTTTTTAGTTTCTTTAGGGGAGTGCCAGAGAAACAAAGTCTTGCTTCAGGCTTTATGCTCAGCTAACTGCTATTAACTTGGGCCCTAGACAATAACATCAACTGACAGTAAAGAGCTTGGCTAAATAGAAACGTAACTTTAAGCTTTTACGTGTACGTGTTCTTCTAAATGCTTGCCTGAGTCTCAGATTCCAAACCTCACTCCGAATTGTGCGCAATGCACCACTGGGGCAGTGTATGGTGAATGAAACCATTGCAGCCTCAGGGATTTTTTCCTGTACATTTAGGTGTGGGAATTTTATTCTCCCACAGTATTTGTGTTTGTATTTTATTTTATTTTATTAATTATTTTCTTTAGAAAGAAAAGGCTCCCTGATTCTTTTTCTCTCCATGGATCTGTCATACGACTTTCACTTCTGAAAGGAATTTCTGCCCAAATAGTTTCTGCTGCAGTAAGTATCCCTGCCCTACCTCCCCCCAGCCCCACTTTTACTCCATAAGTATTGAATTTGTTACTGTGAACAGGAATGGGTGTATAAATTACTTTTTCTCACATATGCTGCAAGAGTTCTGGTTATGCGAGGTGGTAGTTATGCTAAGCTATGGTTCTACAAAGGATCTTGGGAGCAGCAGGCTTCACTGAGCTCTGAGTGACCTGATAACAGAGACGGTGAGCAAAAAAACACTGATTCAAGAAGAATAGGAAAAATAATAGTAGCTGAAGAACTTGAGTTGCGTAAGGTAAGAACTTGCTGGTAAAGTAGGGATAATAAGAGGTGAGCTGCAGGTCACAGAATCACAGAAAATGGGAGTTGGAAGGGACCTTAGGAAGTTGCATCTAGTCCAACCCCTGCTCAAAGCAGGATCATCCCCAACTCAGTAGGGGGTGAGCTGCAGGGTTCTGCACTTGGCAAGGAGGCAAATAAAAAAGGGACATCTAGACAGATAGGGAAGAACAGGCATAGCATGTGGGGGCATCTTGGCCATCAGTAAGCTGCTGCAAAACTTGCCATCTCTAGGGAAGTGTGGGATGCAGGCACCATGTCATTACTATTAGTTCTGGGCAGTTTAGTTGAGCGGGACTGCGTGCTACACAGACCAGCTTGCATGCTGTCTTAAGAGATCTCTGAGCTTGTGCCACCTAACACAAATAGAGAGTCGTTCTTCCTGTATTGCACCCAGGCTCTAGGAGGCTGGTTGCAGGCAGTGGCCTCAGAGTTCATGGAGCAGCTTGAGATCACTAAGAGAGGGTGGAGGCTGGGTGGGAAAACTCTTGGACCCATGCCTTAAAACAACATATACCATACCCCTGAATATAACATACACCCTGATTTTTACAGACAGCTTACTGGGGGTGGGGGTGAGGGGAGGGAATATTCTACCTTGCAGGACAGGTGAGTAACAGATCCAGCGTGCTGAATCAGGAGCTGTGCCCCAGCTCTGACCCCATGTGCTGGCTCCAGAGCCACATCCAGGTTGGACCCAGTATCCTCAGAGCTGTGTATCTGGTCTGCCCACACATGCTGACCCCAGGGTCACATGTGCTGGTTTGAACTCAGCAGCCTGTGTCTGGCTGCAGACCAGCCCTATGCGTTGGCCTGACCCAGTGTACGGTGGGAAACTCCTTTTGATACTTCCTTCCTACTAGACATTGGGTTGTTGAGGACTAGTCATGGAGTGTGATGATCCAACCAGTTACATATCCACTTGACAGTACTTTCATCTAGTCTGTATTTCCCATGAGAAACCATGATTTTTCTCTCAAAGTAAAGATGGTCACTCCAGGAGAAAAATAACTCGGGAACAATTAGGGTTAAATCACTCCCAGAAGAAACCAATGTCTGTTATGTTCTCATCTGAGAGAAGCCATTATGCAATCCTCCAGCATCCCAGGGTGCTTTGCTCCCTCCCACCCACCTGAGCTCCACTCAGGTCCAGAAATTTGGTTGGGGGTGGGGGTAGCGGTGGCAGTGTTAGTTGCCATGATTCCCAGAACTGAGGCAGTTAACCTTGCCACCGTTCCACTCCCTCCCCTCACCCATATTTTTGAACCTGTGGAGATCCCTTTTTCCTCACTTGCATGTGCATCCCAATTTTTGCCTGCTGGTTTTAGGGAAAATGTACAGGTTATGTGCAAGAAGATATGGTAGTAAATATAGTCACTATTTGCTGTGGGGAAGAGGCTCATGTATGAGGTTTGATGTGGTCTGTTTTGTCCCATGTGACTTTTTACCTCTGTGATCTATACCTATAAGCTCAACCTATGGTGCATTGGGTCAGTATGGAGGGCTCCTGGCTGAAGGGAAGTGATGTGGATGCCACATCTTGATAAGTTGTCTTTGGTGAAACAAGGGAGCCTGTACTTCACTCCCTGGGTCTTGAATAAT